ATGCAATAGAATTTTTAAAACTAAGAGAAAGCAGCGTTTTACAGACTGACAATAACCTGTTGAGTTCAAGAAGGCTCTTTTTTACAAGCAGATTACAACTGAAACCCACTTGAAAGTGAACACTCTCCCCAAATTGCCTTTTTAATACTGAGCTTTTCTTCTGAAGGAGAAAATCTGTGGAAATGATAAATGTTGGGCTTGGGTTTATTCACAGAAGCAGTAAGTAAAGATGGTCAGATTCATGTGTACTTCTTCAAGGAGCATTTAAAGAACTACACTGTCCCTTTCTCGTGGGATCAAGCCAGACTGCGCACACAGGAGGAGATCCGACGAGGCCACGAGAGGTGAGGGAGTAGCATTCAGCTGTTTGTGGAGAATTCCGAGGAGGTTGCTTAGGACCTCTACAATGCTGAAAATCAGCATATGGCATCCTCCCAGAATGTACCTGTGCACATCTCTTTGAAATGATGTACAAGGCTGTGCTGAAACAGGGCAGTAGGTAGATTTTATATGTATGAGGTTACTCAGCTCTCAGAGAAATGGGTTGCTTGGGGAGTGCTCAGAGTGCTATAAGAGGAGAAATGAACTGGAGCCAAAAGTGCTGCTGGGCCTTGGAGTTTGACTTGTCTAAAGCATGGAGGGAAAACTGCGAGGCTGAAAAAATGCTGGATAGGTTGAGGGGGAAGGATACCTTAGAGCTGTGTGGCATTATAAAGGTATTTGAGATCTCCAGAGTCTAGCTCACTTCCCCAGCCTCATTCAGGGGGAAGCCACTCTTCCCTTTTGGAAGCTTAGCTGCAGTTCTGCTGTATAGTGGGTGATGTCTGAGGTGAATCCTAGGCTCCTATCAGATTAGTTCCTCTCTAATCCCACACACAGGTGGTAGTGTGTTGGATGCTGGCACAACAGCATTATTTCTCCAGATGATCACTTCTCACTCCCTGCTATTTCCAATCTTGAAGCTAATAGGGAAAAATCAACACACTCATACCAGTTCCCGTGCTTTTGTTTGTTGTTTTTTTCCTCCCCTCTTCAGGTCAAGGATAGAATCTCCCAAGTCTTTTAAGAAACCCTACAGCATGTCCATGATGCCAGGCCAGTATGGCTCTGGCATGAGCAAGCTATCAGGTCAGGAGGTGAGCATTCCCAGCTCAGATGAATTCAGAGACGTGTCCTTGGCCCAGGAGCATCTGTTGGCACAGCTGCAACTGGAAAAAATAGAAAACAGGAGGTAAGTTCCGAGAGCAGCATCTTTTCTTTGCAGCTTCAGCCTAGGGTTATAAACAATTTCTAACTTGAACAGTGCTAGAAAACAGCCCAGACTGTCTTCAGTTTTCTCGGATTTCATCAAGTACATCAGTGCAGTTCCCTGCTATCTCCTACTTGCATCACAGGAACAGTCCGGGATGGTACAAATTCTTGGAACTTTTAGGAATGGTTGGAAACTCTGTGGTCAATCATGCCACCACAACTGAAGCATTACAGTGGTCTGTGTGTCCCACTGTGTCACAAATGTCTATAAAGTTCTCTCTGGGATGTCAGTTTGTAGCGATGCAGATCACAAAGGGGAAGAACTAAGCTTTTGAGGTTGGCCCAAGAGGTTTTTGTCTCTTCTGCCTTTCCCATCAGTTGGGTGTCTGCAGTCTGTGTAGCTGCTTTCTGTACCACGCTTTTATGTGGTGGATTTTTGAAATAGCAATTGGCTGTGTCAGACTGTGGAGGTCAGACACTTCTAAAACCAGAACTCTTAGTTAACACACTGGTTACAGGGACAAAGCCAGGCTGCCATCTAACTGATGCTCTTGATCTTCCCATCTAGGTTTGAAGAACAGTTGCACCGATACCTGACTGAGGACAATGAGCCCCTTGGGGATCTCTTAGGTCTTCCTCTCTACCTCCCCCAGTCGCTGCTCTCCACCTCAGCCGTCACCTGCCCATTGGTGAAGAGTCCCATGCCACCTGCTCAGGAGGTAAGATGAGGGGTCCTGAGCATTGGCTAAAGCTCTGAGGAGTGCAGTAGTTGCAAAACCTCTAGCGGGAATTACCTTGGGAGAAAGTCTTGGTCTCATCTCTTTTTCTTCTGCCCAGGCTGGGAGTCAAGAGGGACACAAGGTTGTGGAGACGGAGCGAAGCCCTGCGCTGTCGGACAGACTGAAACACTTGCAGCAGCTCCTCAGGGCGACCAAGGAGGCTGAAGCTGCCTCTGAGCTCCACCTCTCTGCTCTGGTGGACATGGTGGATATTTGAGCAGAGCTGAGATGTGGACACTCAAGAAAGAAATCCAGGTCTGGGTGACTGAACAGATATGCTCGTGGGGCATGTTCCAGAGCAAGCAAATGTTCTCCTGGAATAAGAACATAGAGCAGCTGTGGAGCTTGGGCCCTTCTCACATGGCTGCCTTCCACAGGGTCAGTGTGTCACGGCTGGTCTGCAGCTCCCTCCTTTTCTGCTCCATGGGCATGGAGACGAGTCAAAAGCTTTTCTTGGAAGGCCTTACATGACAGTAGTGACTTTTCTTTCTCCCAGCTCTCATCGTGGGTAAACACAGCTTCAGCAGGGGGAAACTGAAGTAGCACAGGGTCCCTGGGAACACTGGAGCGATTGCTCTCTGTAGACACAGTCCCTGAAATGTTGTCTCAGCTCTGTGCTTCCTTCATGCAGGAACTGCCTTGCAGCAGCACTGTGTTTTGAAGTTCCCGTTCTGTTCCCAGGAATGTCAGTACTGGCATTCTCAAGTTGGAGCAGCACTTGGCCAAGTTTATGTTGCTCAGTGCAAGGATTTTTGTGCTGCTGGGTCCAAGTTTTACTCAATATTTACGGCTTTAAAACCAGGTGAGTTGCTTATTCCACAGATTCCATGTCATGCTGGAGAGCAGGATACTTCCTTCAGTATTCAGTAAACAGCTATGGAGAAACAATTTTCCTTTTTTTGAAATTTTTTTTTTGGAAGAGCAGTTTGCCTGCATTCTCCAGCACTTAAAAACCTTTGGAAGTTGAAGACATTTTGGTTTAATTCCCAGTAAATAGTATGCAGATGTATTTCATGTCTGCAGTAATTCTATACAGCTCATCTTTTTCTTTCTTTTTTTTTTTCTTTACAAAACCAGCAAATTTTTCTCAAACAGAACCTTCTACCTGGTGAAATAGAAATTACTGCAGGGAACACTGATTATCTTGCCTGCCTGACCCCAGTCTGACTCCCAATTTCATCTGAAATCCTCAGTAGTCCAAAACAGTCAGCTGCCTTCCAAAAAAGTAATTGTATAGGCTTTTTTAAAAGCATTTCATTTGTACGATTTCTCTTAAACCCAAAATTAGCAAGAGTAGCTCAGTGTTAAGTTGAACTAAGAAATGCAAACTGAGAAGGTGGTGCTTTGAGGCTGTTCCTGCTACACACACTTTTGTCAGGCTGAGTTGTGTAAGTTCAGCTGGGTCCTTGCGAAGCAAAGCTTTTGGTCCTGCTCTTGTTATTCTTAGTTCACTTGGAATTTAGCTGTCAAAACCCAAAAGAGCTTCGAGGTCGTGGCTCGCACAATGTGTTTTTGTACCAAATAAATTTCTAGTGGCTCGAAAAGGTGCCCTTTTGCCTCGTTCCTCTGAAAAGGTTATGCGGCAGCAAAAGCACGACGAGGGTGGGATTCGAACCCACGCGTGCAGAGCACAATGGATTAGCAGTCCATCGCCTTAACCACTCGGCCACCTCGTCCTGCCGCGCGCCCGTAAGGGCCAGGCCACCGCCCGTGACGGACCGGACCGGACCGGACCGGCGGACCCTCACGGGGCTGAGCGTGGCCGCAAAATGTCGGCGAGAAGAGAGGGGGGGAGGCCGGGGTGCGGCAAAAAAAAAAAAGGCATTGCCCTCTCTGAGGCTCGAACTCAGGACCTTCAGATTATGAGACTGACGCGCTGCCGGCTGCGCTAAGAGGGCGGCGGTGGAGGCCGCCCCGCTGGGGCTTCCGGGAGGCGGGGCGGCAAGGAGGGGAGGGGATACTGCGGCGGCGGCGTCAGGCCGGCAGGGGGCGACAGGGCCCCGCGGCGGGACGAGGTGGCCGAGTGGTTAAGGCGATGGACTGCTAATCCATTGTGCTCTGCACGCGTGGGTTCGAATCCCACCCTCGTCGCACTTTTGCTGCCGCCATGGGGGGCACTGGGGACACCGCCGAGGACACGGAGGGGGACACCGCATTGCATCCTGCCCAAGGGGCATGAGGTCGGTGGTGCCCTGCAGCAGCGCCGTGTTTTGGAAAGGGGGGTGATGATGGCAGGAGAAACTGAGGTAGCATCAAAGAGGGGCAGCCGAGGTCCTGGTGTGGAGTGGCTGGGAGCCTCTTATCCAGGAGGCACAGGAAAGAAAACACTCTGAAATCTTTAAAGGAGTGATTAATGCAGAAAGTGGTTGTTGAGTAGTAAGGTGATAACCTTCCCAAAAGGAGGGAGCAACCGGAAAGCAAACTGGGACAAAGGAGGCATGAAACCGTGAACGCATGCCTTGAACTCTCTGGGGACTGCAGTCAGAGAAGATATGGAAGTGTTCTTCCCATCGGAGTTGTTGGTGAACCTGCTTGTTCATCATAACTGTGGCTGGACATGTGCCCCAAGGGCTCCTACACCAGTGGTGCCAACTTCAAAGTGCAGCCTCTGCACTGGTGGCCACAGTCAGTGTGTGTCCAAGGACCCTGCTCCCATGGGAAGTTCACCCCTCACCTCCATTCCCTTGTCGGTAGAGGCTCTCCAGGTAAAAGTGTTCACCCAAACCGCTCTGGGGCAGTGCTGTCATTGTGAGGGGGACAAATAGGGGCAGCAGGGAAGAATGGCCCCAGCAGTGCCCCCCAGCTTGGGGCAGGGAGGAAAAGCATCTCCCCCTCAGCACCCAGGCACCACTGGGAGTCAGACCCAGGATCTCCTGTTCACTAGACAGGCACTTTGACCAGCTGAGCCCATGCAGGGACCCCCGGGCCGGGGGCTGCTGTCTCCCCCCACCCCGGGAGTGGCAAAATGGGGCTGTGATGGCCGAGGGGTGAAGGCGTTGGACTCGAAATCCAATGGGGGAGTCCCCGCGCAGGTTCGAATCCTGCTCACAGCGACAAGGTTTTAGCTGCCCCTACAGGAGTTCACCGCGGTGGGATTTAGGGCAGGCCCCAGCCCTGTCCCTCACACTCTTCCCAGGAAGTGGCTCCTGCACCGGAGAAAATGAGGCATTGTAGGGCAGGGAGACATGGGCCACTTGACCTGGGGCCAAGGAGAATCCTGTCCCAGAGGGTGGGGACCACAGACACCCAGGTTGTCGGGGTGGGTTTATCTACTTTTGCCCATGGGCCAGCTGGGACCCACACCAAGCCCATGGGCCATGAGGGAGTGCTGGGAAGCCCCATGCAGGCTTGGGGCTGTGGTTCCACCTTTAGATGTGAGAAGTCCAGGATCCAACTCCCAGAGAAGTCCTCCCTTTGGGCAGAGCCTGTCTTATTTTTCTCTGGGGGTGCAGAGCTCTTTGGGGTCGTCCCCTTGTTTCCCCCCCAGTCACTGCAGCTTGGAGCTGGCCAGGATGAGCAGGGCAGCTTGGGGTCTGGCATGGGGTGTGGGCACCCACTATGCACCACTGCTGTCCCTCCACTCCTGTGCCAGCTGTGCCCACAGGCAGCCCCTGGGCTTTTATGGGGGGTCTGGGTGGCTTTACCAGCCCCACAGCCAGCAGCGAGGGGTCCCTGGGGAGGCAAAAGGATATGGAGATGCTGGGGGTTGATCCCAGGGCCTCTTGCATGCAAAGCAAGCGCTCTCCCGCTGAGCTACATCCCCCTGTACCTAAGCAGGATGGTGCCCAGGAGTCCCCACTGGTCCTGTGGTCCACCTGCCCCTGTGTCCACTGGGTCCAGGGAATTTATGCCACCGTGGACACCTCTAAACACTGGCCACATATCCTGGGCACACTAAGATGGATTTCCCTGTTCTAGGCTGTGCCAGGGGCAAAAGGCAGCACCAGCCACCCTCGATGACCCCCAAAATTGTGGGGCACAGATGTGGGGGTGCAGTGGGGTGCAGCACCCTAGCTTGTTGGTCTAGGGGTATGATCCTCACTTAGGCTGTGAGGGGTTTAACTCCTGGACGGGCTTTCCTTTTGGGCATCCACCTTCTTTGGCTGGCATGTGGGACCGTGGCATAACCAGGGCCCTGGCACAGAGGGGTGGGTGCCCCTTCCTGGCTGGATGCATTCCTGTGAGCAGGATGGGCCCCCAAGGCTGGCAGTGTGTGTCCCAAGGGTGATGGCCCTGAGGGCAGAGCAGGGTGAGCAGTGGGGAGCAGTGGGGGTGCAGGGACTTCACCAACCCTCCCTCCCCTGCCCTTGCACAGGGGGATGTAGCTCAGCGGGAGAGCACTTGCTTTGCATGCAAGAGGCCCTGGGATCGACCCCCAGCATCTCCACGTTTTTTTCCCTCCAAGACCTACTGTAGCCCTGGGCATCCTTGGAGGATACTTCCCTGCAGTGCCCGTCTTGTGGTAAGGTAACCTGGAATTTTTCCAGCCATCACTAAATATCCCTGGATGTTCCCTTTTCCCAGCCCTGGCAGGTGTGGGTACTGGGGCTGAGCAGAGCCGTGACAGCAGGCTGGGGAATATTCTCTCCCTGGAGGCAGAGCCCAGGGCAAAGTGGGGTGTCCCTGGCTGTCCTTACCACACAGGGGGTCAGCTGTGGCTGTGATGGCCGAGGGGTGAAGGCGTTGGACTTGAAATCCAATAGGGATTCCCTGCGCAGGTTCGAATCCTGCTCACAGCGGTTGGTTTTACGCAGGCCTGGATGGGGTGGGGGTCTGGGTAACCCCATCCCAGCAGCATTGTTGGAGAGTGAGGGGCAGGGAAAGGGCAGCGCTGCACTGGCTGGCTGTGGACCTTGGGCTCAACTCCTGGCTGACACCTCCTTTTGGGCACCCACTGCCCGGCATGGCCTCTGTGGGGTTGAGGCACTGCTGCCTGGCACAGAGGGCACGAGCAGCCCCCCCCTGCTTGGGCAGAGATACAGATCAGCCATGGCTAGGGCTGGTTCCCTCCTGGGTGGGGAAGGAGCTGTTGGGGCAGCGGGGGAACGGCAATGTAGGGGGGCCCTGCTGCCACTACAGCCTCAGTGGACAGCTCTGCCATGGTGCTGGGTGCAGGAGCATCTCCCACCTTTGGGGAGACCTCCCAGAGGTAGACATGACTTTTTCATCACTGGCCTGTGGAGGAGGTGGGTTTGTGGACGGAAAAAAAAAGCTGGAGATGCTGGGGGTTGAACCCAGGGCCTCTTACATGCGAAGCAAGCGCTCTCCCGCTGAGCTACATCCCCTGCCTGGACACCCCTAAACTTGGGGGTCCTGCTGCCCTCTGTGCTCCTCTTAGCCTCATTTTAGAGTCAGGGCAGGTACAGCCCATGGCCATGCACAGGTGACATGCCCACAGCCAGGGAAGAGCAAGGGTGACCTCCCAGCTGTGACCATCCATCAGGACAAATTGAGTTGCCACAGGTCCCACCCCACCCCACAAAGTTCTGAGTTCTGTGAGTTCTGTGAGTGAAGGATGGGGTTCCTGCCATCCTACAGCAACTCGGCTCGTTGGTCTAGGGGTATGATTCTCGCTTCGGGTGCGAGAGGTCCCGGGTTCAACTCCCGGACGAGCCCTTCTTTTGGGCACCCGTCTGCCTTGGGTGGCACAAGTGGTCCCCGACCGCAGGATGAGACCAGGACCAGGGCGGTGAGGGGGAAACAGAGCCTGGTAAAGTGAGCATGGGCAGACTATTTTGCATGGCCACATCCCAAAAATAGGATGGAGCCCCTTAGAAGCAGCAATGGGGATGGTGGAGTGCAGGCTGTGACTGTCTGGTTTGGAGCCCTGAGGGCAGAGCAGGGGCAGCAGTGGGGGTGAGGGGACTCAATCAGCCCTTGCACAGGGGGGATGTAGCTCAGCGGCAGAGTGCCTGCTTTGCATGCAAGAGGCCCTGGGATCAACCCCGAGCATCTCCATGTCCTTTTGCCTCCCCAGGGACCCCTCCCTGCTGGCTGCGGGGCTGCCACCAGAACGCCCAGAACAATCCTAGGGCTGCCTGTGGGCACGGCCGGCCTGGGATCGCCTGCTGGCCCCCCAAGGCAGGCAGCGAGGAAATGCCCGTGGCCATTTCCCTCCCTGTCCTGCCCTGGTGTCCCTTCCTAGAGGGGTCGGGGTATCCCTTGGGATGAACATCCGTGCTGGGGAGACCAGAGCGGTGGGAGCCAAAAAAAGGGCTCGTCCGGGATTTGAACCCGGGACCTCTCGCACCCTAAGCGAGAATCATACCCCTAGACCAACGAGCCGGGGTGCGCGCCCGACCCCGCCCCCCCGCTCTGGGCCCACACCCCGGATGCTTCCCAGGAAAAGGGCGCTGCGAGCACGGCGGGACGCGCGTCACGCCCGACTCCACACCGCCTGCACCCACACACGGCCCCGCAACGCTCGCCACACTCGCCAGCCCTCACACGCGCCCGCAAATCGCCCTGCCCAACAATGCTCAGCGCGCTCCCCGCCAGCGCCCTCGCACACCACCCCGCACCACGCCAGGCCCGGACACCACGGCCCGCGCACGGACGGGCCCCTGACAAACACACACGGGCCTCTGCTGCCAGCCAGCACAAACGCAGCTGCCGCGGCCCACGAGCTCGGCGAGACGGCCCGGGCCCAAGAGCGGCCGATGCTGCTGCCAAGCCCCGCCCGCTCCATCCGCCGCCAGGCCCGCCGAGGGGCTTTGGGGGAGGAAGCGCCGCCCCCGCCGCTGCTGGGGGGACATGTAGGCGCTGACGCCTCGCGCCCACCTCCGGCTGCTGCTTCAGAGGGCGGCCCCAGCAAGGGGGACCCCCCTGCTCCCGCAGAGCCACGGCCGCGCACAGCCCCGCCTGCCCCCGAGCCCCCGAAAGTCCCGGGCTGCCCAAAGGGCGACGGCTGCACCCCGGCTCGTTGGTCTAGGGGTATGATTCTCGCTTTGGGTGCGAGAGGTCCCGGGTTCAAATCCCGGACGAGCCCCTCTCTTTTGCCCGACCGCCGGCCCCCGCCTGCCAGACGCCCTACATTGCTTCCGCAGGGATGGGGGACACGCCACTGCGGGGAATCCACGCAACAAACCCACACAATCTTGCCCCTCACCACCCCACTCCCCTCACCAGCTTTTCTCTCACCTCACCCGCCTCTGCAAAACCCGCACACCACCACCTGTGCCTTTGCCCCACTTCTGCCCCCGCGGCCATCGCCATCCCTGCCGCCGGTTCTTCAGCTGCTCCCCAGGGAGGACGAGGACGAGGACGAGGAGGAGAAGGAGGAGGGCCGGGGATGCCCCGGCTGCCAGTGACTCTCCCAGGACCCTCAGGGCTGGTGGGGAGGAGTTGGCTAAAACCTGTCGCTGGGAGCAGGATAGGAAGCTGCACAGGGAATCCCTATTGGATTTCGAGTCCAACGCCTTCACCCCATCACAGCCCCAGCCCCAACCGCGTGCGGGACATGTGGCCCCCGGCCCAGCCACCCCCGGTGTGCTCCGTTGTCCTGGCGAGCGGGGACGTGGCCGCGGTCTCCCCACACAGACGGAGGGGGCCAAAAACACCTGCGCACCCCGGCTCGTTGGTCTAGGGGTATGATTCTCGCTTAGGGTGCGAGAGGTCCCGGGTTCAAATCCCGGACGAGCCCTTCTTTTACCCACACCACCGCCCGCAACCGACCCTGACTCATGGGACACTCCAGGAGAATTAGGTGCCATCGCAGACCCACCGACCACCTCTGCCCGGGGGCTCCAGCCACAAAACCGCACCCGGGGATACTTGACAACCCTTCCCCCTCTTCTCACTCCCTCCACAGCCCGCTGCCACCTCAGGGACACCCAGAGCCTGCCAAGCCCTGAACCGCCTTTCCCCAGCCAGGGGAGCTGGGGAAGGCAGCTGACACAGCATTTGCTCGGACTGGGGACAACGCCGCGGCAGAGCCCGTGCCAGGGGGATGTAGCTCAGCGGGAGAGCGCTTGCTTTGCATGCAAGAGGCCCTGGGATCAACCCCCAGCATCTCCATGTCCTTTTGCCTCCCCACATCGCCCTCTCCGCTGGCTGCGGTGCTGCCAGAGATCGCCAGAACACTTCTGGGGCTACCTCCTGGCACCCCAAAGCTGTGTAGAAATTCCCATGGCTCTTTCCCTCCTCCGTCTGGCAAGAGGGCTTTGCAGGGCAAGGGAGGTCTCTCTTTTGCTTTCCCACGTGGCTCAGGATGAATATCGCTGGGAAGGAGGAGGGTGGCTGGTGCCCAAAAACACATCCGGGAGCAGGGCAAACGAGCCGGGGTGCACTGCTCCCCCAAGGATGTTGGTCAGGGCGATGGAGGGAATCCACCCAGGGAATCCATCCAACCCGGGAAAAAGCTGCCCCTCTACCTTTTTCCTCACCTCTCCCGGGTCTGCAAAACCCGGAGAACCCCGGGTGTGTCTGTGCCACGCTCCTGCCATCACAGTCCCTGCCTGAGGCATTGCCGGGTCTTGAGCTGCTCTCCAGGGAGGAGAAGGGGGGGAGGGGGAGTCGGGATGGGGCTGGGAGTGCTCTGGCTACCAATGACCCTCCTCCCGGGAACTCCCACCCAAGTTGCGAGCACCGCAGGACCCCCACCGTGGGGAGTATCAGGGCGTTGGCTAAAAACTGTGAGAAGGATTCGAACCTGCGCAGAGAATTCCCTACTGGATTTTTAGTCCAACGCCTTCACCCCTCGGCCATCACAGCCCCATTTCGCCGTTCCCGGGGGGAAGGGGGGGGACACAGCAGCCCCCATCCCGGCCACCCCCGCTGCCCCCTGTGTGCCCCGTTGTCCTGGCGAGCGGGAAAGTGTCGGGGCTGTGCCGCCGGGGGCAGCCCCCGAGCCGGGGGCCGCTCGGTGGGGCTCGGTGGGCCCCGGTCTGCTCCGCCGGCCCCGGTCTGCTCCGCCGGCCCCACCGAGCGGCTCCCCCGGCTCGGGGGTCCCCGGGAACAGCCGCGCCCGCGCACCCCGGCTCGTTGGCCTAGGGGTATGATTCTCGCTTAGGGTGCGAGAGATCCCGGGTTCAAATCCCGGACGAGCACTTCTCTTTTTGGCTCCCAGCACTGGGTTCGGGGCACGGATGGGGCGACGCTGCCTGGCACAGGGCGCACGAGTGGCACAGGCCGGCCGGTCCCCTCCCGGGTGGGTAAAGAGGGCTGTCGGGGCAGTTGGGGGGCGGGGGGCAGAGCATGGGTGGGGCCGTACTTGCCGTCGCGGCCACAGGCGGGCAGCGCTGCCGTGGTGCAGAGGGATCCCCTTCGGGAAAGCTTTTTCCCGATGTAAAAGTGGAGTTTATCGTCGCTGCCGCCTGGAGGAACAGGGTTGGGACTGTGGGGGAAAAAAAAAAAAACACCGAAAAACAACAACATAAAAACCTAAACTGGAGATGCTGGGGATTGAACCCAGGGCCTCTTACATGCGAAGCAAGCGCTCTCCCACTGAGCTACATCCCCTTCCCGTGAGGCCTTGGGACAGGACACGTGCTGGGTGACACTGCAGGGGTTGTGTCCCCCCGTGAAAAAAAAATTCCATCCACTCAATGACCTCCCCACGGGATGCTGTTCGCGGGCAGCTTGGAGATGCGAGGGCTGGTCCTCCCGTACTGGTCATCGGACAGCAGCAGGGGTGGAGTCCCCTAAGGAGGGGTTGTCCCAAAAGGAAGGGCTATCTCCAAAACCAGGGCTTTATCCAAAGGAGGGGATAACCTCAAAAGGAGGGGTTGTATCTAAAGGATGAGTCGTATCCAAAGGAGTGCTTATCCAGGAGTTGAACTCAGGATCTCTTGCATCCAAGAATGAGAAACCTATCCCTACACCCCACAAGCTGGTGTACTGCACTCCTTTTTCATCCCCAGCCCCTCTATCCCCCACATTTTGGATTTAGGGATATAGCTGAGGCTGAGGTTTTCCACAGCACATCCACCACCTTGAGGAAGCATTTCCACATCAGCCATGCCAGGAGGCAACCCCAGGGCTGTTTGGGGGGGCTCTGGCAGCCCTGCAGCCAGCAGGGAGGGGTCTAGGGGTAGCAAAAAGACATGGAGATGCTGGGGGTTGATCCCAGGGCCTCTTGCATGCAAAGCAAGTGCTCTTCTGCTGAGCTACATCCCCTTGCTCCAGCAGCACTTTGCTACTGGCCCTTGAGGGTCCATCCTTCCCACAGGAATGTGTCCAGCTGGGATGTGGGACCAACCCCACTATGCTGTGCACTGCTGTTCCAACTCATGTCACAGCCCCATGGGCACCAGTGCCCAAAAGAAGGGCACATCTTGGAGCTGACCCTGGGACCTCTGCACCAAAGTGAGAATCATACCCCTAGACACATGAGCCAGGGCAGAGCCATTCCTCCTGCCCTCAGCCTGTGTCCTCCATTCCCCGATGGTGCTCAGCACAGGCTGAAGGCTCTTGGGTGCCCCCGTCTCCTACCACCACCCCTCAGAGACCTATTCCACATGGTCCTGTGTGGCTTTGGGACAGGAGCTGTGAGTTCTGGGTTACTGGCAAATTCCCTCATCTGTTCTTTTTTACGAGTCCCTGGGAGCTGCCAACCATGGGGATCAGCAGGGTGTTGGGGCTGGGCTTCCTACAGGTGCCATAGGGGGCAGGACTGGGGTTCAGCTCCAAGGCAGGACACAGGGAGTTTTTCAGGACACAGTTCCTGAGGGTTGGGCTGCCTATAGCTGTGCTGGGGTGGGAACATGAGCTGCTGCAGGAGCCCCAGCTGGTGGGAACCCCCCTTCTCACAGGGAGAACAGGGCGAAGAGCTGACTTTCAGACAGCAGCGAGCCTCCAGTGCTGATTGCATCACATGGCTGTGCCAGAGCAGGGACTCCCTCCATCCAAACCCCCTGAGCTGACTGAGGTGATGTGGGAGGATAGTTCAGCCACAGCCTTGCTCCTCCCCCCTGCCCTTCACATCACAGAGGGCTGGGGGAAGGGGGCAGGGGAGACTCTGCACCCCATGGTTTCCAGGTCTTGTAACCCCCCGTGGACACCCAGCTCCTTCAGCCCCACACACCCAGCACTGACAGCAGCCACCTCGCACAGCAGTGGCCACGTCACCCTTCTCCTCTTTGGGAAATGCACAGACACTTCTCAGGAAACATGAATTAGCAGCCCTGGAATGTCTAATTGAACAATTCTTGAGTTTAAAACTCAAATTCCCTCGTAGGACCCTGTAAACTGTTGGGATTTGGGCTCTGCTTTCATTGCGCTTATCCCTGTGTCTCCCCAGGGGCTGCCATCGACAGCAAAAGCTCGGAGGAGAAGAGGGTGTAGGACAGCCGGGAGCAATGTCTGTTGATGATTTGGGCTCAGGGTGAGACACGGAGCCAACAGGGCTGCGGGCTCACTGGGGTGTAAGCCTTGTGAGCCCCATTCCCACAGGGAGCACCAGGAAGGCCAGACTGGGATGCCAGTGCCTTTTGATTTGCCTGCTTCTTCCCCCATGACTCACACATGTGGGCAGCCTGTTATTTTCCCGCTTTATTGGATTTCCAGCCCTGGGGAAGAGCTGAAGCCCTTGTCAGAGCTATTGCCTGTCTGATTCTCCAGGCACGGCAGGGAGGGCACCCCAAGGAATGGCAGCGAGCCCCTGCCCTGTGCTCAGTCTGTGGGGGCCTGGGGTGGGATGTCCTCAGTGGTGCCCTCATGTCCCTCATCCTGGCCATACAACCCCTTTCTCTTAGCTTCCTAAAGCTGAAAAGCAGGTGTCCTCTCTGCTTTGGTGGGAAATTGCATTGCAAGACTTTGGTGGGTGAGGAAGGATATTTTTCACAGAAAGAGAGTGGTTTGGTTTAGAAGGTACCTACCTACAAGACCATCTCATTCCAACCCCCTGCCATGGACAGGGACACCTTCCCCTAGGCCAAGTTGCTCCAAGCCCCGTCCATCCTGGCCTTGAACACTTCCAGGGTTGGGCCACACAAGTCCCATCTCCACCTGCTGTGCCTGCAGGCTCCCAGCTCCAGGGGCTCTGTCTCTCACCTGGCTGTCTCCAGGATGTGTGTCCCCAAGTGCTCTGGCCCCAGCGAGGAGGATGAGGGATGCTGCCTGTTGATGCCAACTCGCCCTTCCAGCGTTGCCCTCAGCTCAGTGTCTGGTCTGAGATACACATTTTGCAACCCAGCAAAGGCACAGGTGGTGGATCTGGCTCTTCATCCTCTCCCACTGCTGTGAGACACAATTTTTGTCTTCTCATCTGGATGTGATGGCAGAGAAGCCATGGATTGATGTGCTGGGATGACCCATCAATGACCCAGCCACCACCAACTCTTCTGTCCCTATCACTAGCACCATGCTGCCTGGGATTTCCATAGAATCACAGAATATCCTGAGTTGGAAGGGACCCATGAGGACCCTCAAGTCCAACTCCTGGCTCAGCACAGGACAACCCATAGAATCCCACCATGTGCCTGAGAGTGTTGTCCAAACGCTCCTTGAGCTCTGGCAGCCTTGGGGCTGTGACCCTGGGGAGACTGTTCAGTGCCCAAACACCCTCTGGGGGAAGAACCTTTTCCTGAGATCCAACTTAAACCTCCCTTGACAAAATCTCCACTCCGGATGGTCCCACTCACTTGCTCTTCACACCAATCTTCCCTTTTCCATAGCAACTCTATGATTCTCCACTTGTTCCTCCTCAAAACATGACTTCCCCTCCTCCTTCCCACCTCATCCATCCCCAGGATGGGGAGGTACCCATCCTCCAGGAGTGAGAGGATACTGAGTGACCACAGGGAGAAGGTCTCCTCCAAGGTCACGAAGCAATTGAGGAAAGATGCGAGGTGAGCGGGAGACATAAAACTCAATAGGCATGGCCAGAGAGTTCCACCTGGGCTATACTCCAGGCTCTTCTCAGAAATGCTTCTGCTTTTGCTGCTTTTGAAAGCCATAAGCAGGCAATGCTGGGACCAAATCCCAGGACCCAGCTGTTTCTCTCCATGTGCACCCTTCCACCCGCTAAGCATTATTTTGCATCGCAGTCTCAGTATGTAGCTCCCTGTTTCTCACCAGGGCCTTTGGCTGCAGGAACCTGTATTTCAGGGCCTGATCAGCAGGTCTGTGTGGTCCTGCCCCGGGCAAATGCTGGCTGGGGGGGATATGTGGTGGAATGAACTCAGGATGGCTCTTGAGCTGGGAGCCAAGGAGGCACAGCTTCCAGCTGGAGTCAAGGCACCCGTGGAAGACTGAGTCCCTGGGACAGGGAGCCCTGCAGGGCACCAAGGTCCTCACTTCCCCAACTGTCTGCACTAAAGCATCACACTTTTCAAGTCAAATCAAGGACCCGTGTGGATTTTCAGACACACTGAATTTTCAGGAAAAAAAAATTAAAATCTGTGTAACCTCACCGGTGGAGTCATTCAGTGAAAAGCTGAATGATTCCATATAAAAATGCCATTATTCTCTCCACCTGCTCCATCCAGGACTGTCCCATGCAGCAGGCTGGTGGAAGGCAGCTCCACAAGCCCCAGAGGCCTGCAGCTTCCCAACAAAGCTTTTGCTGGAATTTCAGCACTTTTCTTTTCTTTTTTTTTTTCTCAGACTTTTGCGTCCAATCTCTGCAGACAGTTTCTAGAGCTGGGATAAAAATACCTGAGCAGTCTTTGGAAAAGGAATGTGAAAACACACCTCCCTTCTCCCAGTGCTCTGGCTGCTGAGCAATTGCCACGCAGATTTCCTCCAAATTGGGAGCATTTCTGCAAAATCTCCCGAGCAATAAAACCAGTTGAGCTTGGTCAAAGGGTTTTGAAGATCAACATGCTTTCGAGCTAGGCATATTCCCTCATTATAAACACTCATCAGCTTTATGCAAATACTCCTATTCTTCCTTCCATCAGCTGAAAAAGGTCTGCCTGATGATACATGACATCTTAAAAAGAGGCTTTACTCAATGCCTGACATCTTCTCCCAGACACAGGTGCATCCCCTATCAATAAAACAATTATTCTCCAATTCTTGACTAAAGTCTGGGGTTTTAGTCTTTGAGAAGAGCCTCGTCCCCCTCTAACTGACCAGCTCCCAAGCATGGAACCTGCATGTTTCCCCACTCATCAACACAGCAAAGCTCCCTGTCCTGCTGTTGCCCTTGCCTTTGTATCTGGAGCACATAGGGAAATTATAGCTTCTTCTTCATGTCCTTATTATTATCTTTCCTTGCCACAGGTTAGAGTATCCATAGCACTTGGTGTCTCTGAGATATCTTAGGATGCCTTTCCCCACACCACCTCTAATCCCTCAGTGCTCATTCGCAGCTCTCCACAAATTTGGGCTTCCAATTCATAGAACCATTTAGGTTGGAAAGGATCCTTAAGATCATCAATTCTGGGTCCAGAGGTAACCTGGATGATAACCCTGCACTGCATTTCACATGGCAGGCACCCCTCTTTCTCTGATGGGGCTGGTCACGGGCTGCAGGACTGTGGTCACGGGCTGCAGGACTGTGGTCACGGGCTGCAGGACAAGGTGCACCTGCATCCAGGGTGGGCACTATGTGGCAAAGAGCAAGAATGAAGAGCCTAATCCTTGAAGTCTGGTTTTGCCCTGGTATATCTTAGGAATTTTTTTTTACTCTTCACTGTCACCCATTAAACATTAGGTGAGCAGGGCTCCAAAGGAGCACCTCCTACCTTTTTTCACAGACCTCACCTCCACTCTCCTTAGCTCAGCCAAAAAAAATTAAAAAAAAAAATCACTGCAAAATGCAGGGCAAATGACATATTGAAATGTCGAACCTTATGTTCTCAGCTCCTCAAGAAAACAGGCACTAAGTCTGCTCCTGCAGGAATTCCCCACCTCCAAGAAGGTGTTTGCCATGGGGCAGGAGAGGTTTCTGGGCTGAGAAAGTTGCCTTCGGGCTGGTTGAAGCAAACCACACACTCTGGGTCAGCACAGTGAAGAGCTGGGCAGCAGAAACCCCCTTTTCATACGAAAAAGAACCCTTCCCACCAGCAACAAGTTGCCCCCAGAGCAGGTCACCCCTTGAGACCCCAGAACAAGGAACACCAGAAGACTCAGTCTATGATGTAGCATGACTTTAATGAGAAGGGGAAGGAGAGTAAATCAGTTAGAGTGTAAGAAATGTGTTTCCAGTGCTCAGTAAAGAAATGGATAAA